TTTGGGGGGATGGCGCAGACTCAGATACATTTTCAGGATGTGGTTTACACCGAAGATCGTTAATCTCCGGGAATCGCTATTGGATAGGATTGGGGTGATGGTACGTACTAGTGCTCCTCTAGCACATTTGATGTGGCAATTACCATGTGGCAGGAAACAGTCGTGCGGTGCGGCCAAAACAAATGTATCTGCATACGTCGTATCTCGGCCATTTGTATCTGCATCTCAATCTGAGCATCGGAGCATCTGAATCTCGGACTCCGTGGCAACAGTGGGCGTGCATCATTGGCAATTTTACCATATTATCAACGCATCTGTGAGCTGACAAAGTGTTTTCAACGCTTTCGGTAGTTGCTGCTTGGGAATGTTGCTGGTTGCAAGTTGCTTGTTGTTGGTTGCCAGTTGCAAGTTGCTGCTGGCTGGTGACTGCAGCTGGTAGGCGTTGCCGGAGCTGCGAGCCCGCTTCGATCCCGATTCGATTAATTTTCGCATTAAGATCGGCACAACTCCGCCCTGGACATGGACAAAGGATTTGCTTTGCCAGCACTGAAGAAAAATGTGATTGAGAAATGGATATCTAAGAAAAAATAAAAGTAAATACAGATTCTGTATTTTTTTATCCTTTTTAAAAAACCTATAAAGTCCAAAATAACTAAATAAATGAAACAGCATTGGAACTAAAAAATATTCGTATTAAAAAGTAAGTAATTTGGAAAACGGTTCTTTAAAATAATCTAAATATTCCTTAAATTTGTATTAAATTTGATATTTTTCTTTCAAATGTATATATCTGATTTAATTTATTAAAATTATAATTGTATAATTGTTTGTAAAAGAATAGATGGCATATTTAATTTTTTTTGCTTTAAAATCAAGTGATTTATTTCCTTATTGCTCAAAGTGCACGATTTTTCGCAGTTGTGGGCGCGGTAATGAAATCAAATTAGGCAGAGATCTCGTTGCTGGCGGCGTAATTGATTCGCTCCGCTCGTCTGGGATTCTGGGACTCTGAGACTTCCTCACCGATCCCAGTGCCGATCCCTTGGCCAAGGATAATTGCCGGTGTCCTTGGCTTTCGGGTCGCACCTGCCTTCGGGTGACACGCTCCGCTCGCACTTCGCCCACTTTACTTGGCAGATCTGCTCAAGGATGCCATAACGGCCATAAAACACAATTGTTCGCAATTATTTTTTTTCTGTTTGCCTTGGCGCAAAGGATTAAGGCAGATCGAACAAAAAAAAGAAAACAAAACAATTCGCTACGCAATTTGTATGCAACAATAACAGGAGAAGGAAAAAAGTAGAGATTCGAACACACATGTTGTTTCGATTTCGGGTGGCAATAAAATTGATATATCCTTTGGCACAATATGGCCGCCATGTGCATTTAGATGGCCATGTCCTGACGGCTTAGTTTTCCGCCTTTTTCCCATGTTCCCACCGCCACCCCCACCGCTTATTGGCCATTTAGTGCACGTAGGCAAAAGGAGCAAACGCAAGGAAAATAGTGAAATTTCCCAAATAAAAACTAATAGCCAGTGAGATAGAAAAACAGAGGGCTCCATTCGGCGGCTTCCCGTAATCCCGTCAAAGCGTAAACAAAATAGGAATACATAGGTTATGGGAAATCCGTTCGATTCAATGAGAACCGCAATGGCTTCTAGAGATATATGTACTTGATTGGCTTTTCCGTTCTGTCGCAATATTTTCCCGCATTTCTGCTGGGGTCTCTGATTTCTTTCCTCGGAATCAGTCATAGATTTTTCCTATGTTGTTCATAAATAACTTTGAAGTGCTTTGTTTTGTTTTTTGGAAGGTTATGCGACATGCAGCGAAGTTTTGTAAATATCTCAAGGTATAATTTTGTGCTTTGTATGTTTTACTAAAGGCAAGAAGGTTCAGGACATTTAACTAAGTTGTACATTGAAATAAAGTAAAAAAATATATTTTTGTAAATATTCTTATATTTTATTCCTCTTAACCTTTGATAAATGTCTTAATTTATCTACTTAATTTAAAAGCATTTCCACACCCTACCGACTTCATTAACTCGGCGATTTCCACGAAAATCGTTGAAAACTATTTAAAGAAACGACTATTAGGAAAACACGCCCTTTTAATTTCATTAAATCAAATTCAAATTGCCCGAATCCAACCCACAATGAAAACAAAAACAAAGCGATTGCAATTTTTCACTCCCCCTGAAAACATATAAAAAAGGAGCAGGAACAGGAATAGAAAACCGGGGAAAAAACCTGGAAAGTTGAAAAAATATGGTGGCATATGCAAATGAGATTTCAGGGCAGGAAACAAATCATTGAAAAATTGTCACCGAGCCGCGACAAAGCAAACAAAGCGAGCGAAGGGTGGTGGGAGAGGGGGGATGGGCCCACCCTGTCTGAATCCAGATACTCCAGATACTATAGTATGTGTAGGCACTCCCTCCACCGATCTGGCCACCATCAACATCACCATTAGTGGCTCAATTGTGCGCCACATCGGCTGGCAACCACGAATCGCATGCAAATGAAACCGCAGCCACAAAAACAACGGTTACACTTGGACAAAATAAGTTGGGATCTTATTATACTATCTTGTGAAACAATTAAACTATTTGAATGTGTTTTTTTGTAGAATAAAAGAATATGTTAAACCTGACTCATATAATAAAATAACTAAGTAATAGTAGGGCATTTTCAGCAAAAATATGTTTTTAGATTCGACAAAAAAATTAAGAACGAATATATTCGGTATACTGCAATTACAAAGTAAACATATAAAAAAATTAAATAAAAGAAAATTGAAATTTATTTAATGTTAATGTCTAATAAATTATTTTTTTTATTTTATTTACTTGGTAAATCCATTGCCATCTAATTATTTATTTTTGCGTAAAACAATTCTGAGCATTTAATTCTTAGAGAATTCTGAAAAAGTCATATAACTAAAAAATAGATTTAAAATTAATATAATTATGAATTTTGGAAAATAAAATAATATCTATGTTTACATTTTATTGATTTCTAGAATACTGTTTTTCACATTTTTCAATTTTTGATTTTTCTCAGTGCCGGGAAAAAAGGACATCATCCTGGGAGGACGTAGGGCGCAGCTGACGAATTGTGAAAAAAGTCTGACGGAGGGAAACAAGATGGTGGCACCACCCGAACCCCTCCCCCCGCCCTCTCAACCCACCGACCGCTTTCCCCTCCTCATTTCCCTCTTTTTTCCCCGGGTCTATAATTTTCTGCTGCGTTCTCACGCCATCGTCGCATTTTTTTTCCCGACCATCTTTTGTTGTTTCTTTTGAGCAAACATTTAAATTAAAAACATTTACATACGCTGGTGGGCGGAACAGGGGGAGGAGTGACAGGAACCCAGATATTCAATTATGATTTTTCAATTGGAGGACCAAGCACTCGAGACACATTCTCAGATAAGTCCTGTCGCAGGATGTGGGAAATGGGTTTTCCCTTCGACGGCGTGGAAAATTATATATTGGTGGTCAGAAGTGGTAAATTTAAAGGGAGTAAGTAATAATAGTCCACAAATGTAAATATAAATAAAGTATGTAGAAGAGTTGGGCAATAATTATTCCTAAAAATGTATATAAAAAATTTGTCTGGCACCTAAATTTATCGTTTTTATACTGGCTTAGAAAGTTAGAACTCTGGGGAAATAGTAACATCTTTTTAAATATTTATTTATTTTTACAACGCCATAAATGAAATTTGCTTTATTTAACGATATGATCCTGAATTCTTTTCAGAAAAATAGTAATGATAACTTTTAAAAGCCTATTTAAATATAAAATATGTTTAATTTCATTAACTATCTTTCATTAACTATTTTAAAAACCAAATTTATATTTAATTTTGCTTTGAAATACTCTTTTCACCTCGTCTAAAACTCAAAGGTAGCTAATAAAAAAACTCACTCACTTTTCTACTCAATCCGGTGTGGTGAAGAACCGAAGCGAAACGAAGTGGAATTGGACTGAGTTGAGAAGAATCGTAAATAGTCGACGAAAAGCGGTGAGCACAACCCCACCCCTCTCCATTATTTTTCACCACGGCAACAACAACAACAAACCACCCAAAGAACTGTCAACAGCCAAAAACAAAATGACGAATTTATGAACTCCTCGGCGTGCTCTCTTTCTCTCTCCCTCCCCTGTCGTAAGAGCGAAAGGGATGGCCTGACAAAAATGCTCTCCACTCAAATGGCCGAACAGCTAGTTGTCCCGCTCTATCGCATACCCAGCTTATGAATTGGTATTGTTTTTGAGTGCATGGGAATGTGTGTTGTGTTCGAATTGGAAAATGGAAATGAGTTATGCCCCGCGACGCTGACGTCGCTGCAAGCAGCATGGGAATTCGCTGCTCGTACGGCCATCTCGCTTACACTAGCCTAATTGAAAACCGTATTTTTTCCACATTCGTTTTGCGGTTTCAATTGCGGTTTGGCTTACGTCACGTAACGAAAGTTTTGGGCCATGTTCTCTGGAAAGTTATGCCTTACGTCGCCGCACGTTACGTTACGCGGTGTTGAAAGCCTTTAGCCGTAAGACCCATCAGCTGTTGTTGTTTCTGTTTTGGGGGTCAGTCGACGTCGCAGTCAGCGTCGCTGCCGACGTCCTCGTATTTGTTGTTGATTTTTGCGTTGCGTTTTTTTTTTGTTGGTTTTTATTTGTTGTTTTTGGCTTTGGCTTTGGCGCTTTTGGCGTTTACATGGCGAAAAGCGAATTGGGATTCATTCAATGGTCAGCTGCGTGACTGTGAAGCAGCGACGGCGCTCCGGAATTTCCCGTTTCCACCTCGAAAGTACGCAAATTACGGAAAACACGAAAAGCCGGAGATCGCAAAAAACGCGTGTTAAGTCGTAAAGCTGAAAAAGTGTTTTCACACACGTTGTAAAAAAAACAAAAAAACTTGGAAACGTTTGCAAAAATATTTTATAAAAATAAATATTTCAAAACAAAAAATTTATAAAAAATTATAATAAATCAAAAACCTTTATAATTTAAAACATTTAAATTCTTAAGGTGCTTGAACTTAAAACTTTAATTTCCAATTACTTACCAAAAATAAGTTATTAAGCCTTAAAGTAACTAAATTACATTTTGCCAATACTAAACGAATATTTAAACATTTTGGAAACAAGTGATAAACATGGCATCATGACTTGGAGCTAAAAAGCCGGCAAATCAAAATTCGAAAATACGGAGGAAAACCATTTTTGAGACGAAAAATATGCTTGCGATCATTGTTCACTTCAGAATAAAGTAACAAAATAAGGCAACAAAATAAAAAATAATATTATACAAAGATGGGTAAATAATTAGTAAAAGGTTAACCCAAAGAAAATCTAGGATAAACGCTACAAATTCTTCAAAAAATATTCCAAATAAATTTGAAAAAAAACCGTGGAGGAGTTAGAGGTATAAATTTCAGCCCGAAAATGCTTTTGAGCAATCAGCCGACGAATACGAAACCGCAGCAAACGCCTTCGCAGAACTTCAAGTCGAAGTTGCAGCAACAAATCGTTTCGGCAGCGGCGGTAGCAGCGGCGAATCTCGCCAACGGCAGCAGTCATCATCACCAGCATCATAATCACCACCAGAATCTGAGCCACAACCATCATAATCATAATCACAATCAGCACAACATTTCCTTCGCCACGGATTTCTCAATTGCCGCGATTATGGCGCGCGGCGGAAACGCCCCGAGCAGCCGGGAACCTTCGGAACGGAGTCTGAGTGAGTAGTAAAGTAAAGTAGAGTAGTTCCCGATCCCAAAGTCAGACCCCAACAACCCAACACCCCAAACCAAATATAGACAGATGCAAATGAATGGGCAATCGATTTTATCGCTTGGTTTTTAGCTGCTTTCATCAATAGTTGCACGGAATAATAGAACTCATGACAACGAATATTATTTATTATTATTTTCAGTAGAGTATTCTCAAATACAATATATTTGGATATATATAAAAGCCAAAACATTATTTCGCTTAATATTGGCTAGTTTCATCAAAGTTTCATAAAAATATGAGTACCATTTGTAAATAATTTTACTTAATATAAATATTTTTCAAGAAAAACTTATTTATACTTATTTATTCTTTATATATAGCGGTATTCTTCATATAAGATGGTATTCCCCCCCTTATTCCAGCCGAAGCTTATATACCCTTGCAGATCATTCCTATTAATTAACAAATCGCAAAAATGTTCAATTTTCTAATATTTCTCATTAATTTTCCGATCGTTCCTATGGCAGCTATATGATATAGTCGTCCGATTTTGATCAAATTAAAATTGAAACTCGAAAATATTTAAAAAGAGTCATATCCTAGAGTAGAAGATAATACAATAAAAACCAAAGAAGCTAGAATTTATTTCCTATTACTTTTCCATTAATTTTCCGATCGTTCCTATGGCAGCTATATGATATAGTCGTCCGATTTTGATTAAATTAAAATTGAAATTCGGAAATATTTAAAAAGTGTCATATCCTAGAGTAGAAGATAATACAATAAAATCCAAAGAAGCTAGAATTTATTTCCTATTACTTTTCCATTAATTTTCCGATCGTTCCTATGGCAGCTATATGATATAGTAGTCCGATTTTTTAAATAATTAATTCGAAATTCAGATATATTTAAAAAATAACATCCCCAAAAGTAGAAGGTAATATTTCAAAAAACACCGAAGCTAGAATTTTTTAAAGTTTTTTTTTTCCAATTGTTCCTATGGGAGCTATAAGATATAGTTGTCCGATCCGGTCGGCTCCGACATATATACTACCTGCAATAGAAAGAAGACTTTTGGGAAAGTTTCATCCTGATAGCTCAAAAACTGAGAGACTAGTTTGCGTAGAAACAGACAGACGGACAGACGGACAGACGGACAGACGGACAGACGGACATGGCTAGATCGACTCGTCTTGTGATGCTGATCAAGAATATATATACTTTATGGGGTCGGAAACGTCTCCTTCACTGCGTTGCAAACTTCTGACTGAAATCATAATACCCTCTGCAAGGGTATAAAAATTATAAATAAGATACATAGAGGAATAGACAGACTTTTTAGTATCGACGAATATTTTCGGAGTAAAAACGCTTCATTCATGAATTTCTTTTTCGATTTGATCCCTGTTGTCTGCTACAAACAAGTTTCACTTTATTATAATATTCAATATTCTTTTCATTGAGTATAATAAATTTTCTGGCCAAAGGTTGAAAAGAATATAAATTTAGCATATCACACATGTTGATGTTTATCCCAAGTTACGGGTTTGTCTGGTGATTTAACTATAAATTTTTACGATATAATAAGGCACGAGCAGCGTATCGTTTATAAAGAGGATTAAAATATGAAAGGTTGCTGAATGATTGAAAACAATGAATTTAAAAATTTATTTAAAAGAACAATTTCAGATGGAATGGAATTTGTAGAAAAATTAAAAAGAAAATTAGCTAGAAAGTTTACAATAAAACCGAAAATGATCTTGAAATAAAGTTCCGTTCAAATTGACAATAAAGGCGAAAAAATAAAATTCGTTGCCAAGAAAATATGTGTTTAGCGAAAGAAAATCTTCAAGTAGTTCAGATCTACGGCGACACAAAACAAGAAAATTAGGTTAGTAGGCAAGGAAAATCATACATCAAAATATATTTTAATTATTCTACTTTTTTGCATTCTTTTATTTTATTCAAAAAAGGCTTTAGTATTCATCTCTACAATCATTGGCTGATGCAAAAACTCATTTAATCGATTAGTAATATTCCGCCCCTTCCTTTTTTGTATTCACCCTTTGGAAAAAGTGTCGCAGCTGCATTATATTTCTATATTTTCCGCATTTTTTGCCCGCCTTTTTTCTGCTATATAAATTATATTTTGATGACAATGCAACGTTGATGACTTGATAATTGCAGCAAATGCGCGGCAATAAAATAATCAAAGCCTATTTGAATGCGCGGGGGGCTGGGAAATGCATACATGACATGATATAAAATCGCGCATATATACACCCAAAAAAAAAATCGACTGAAATCGCCCTTGGTTTTAGAAAATCGCCTATGAATTTGCTTTACTGGCGATTTTGTCTATATTAAAGAAAGTAGGTTTTTAAAATCAAAGACGTTTTTTCTAAAAATCAAAAAAAAATAGACTGCAATTTAGAAATATTTTGCTAGAAAGTAAAAAATTATTTCTTAGAATTTAGAAATAAAGGTTTTCTAAAAAATAGAAATACGGTTTTTTTTTTTTAAATAAAAAAAAAAAATTTCTCAAATTCAGAAAATACAAAAATCTATTTTCGGGCTTCGGAATTATACCCGGTTGTTTCTGTGACGCCACGGCCTTTGTGTTGTTTTTTTTTCGTTCTTGTTTGTCACCTTATTTTAATTTCCTTTAATTGAGCACATGGGTGGTTTCAAATTGGAACTGAAATGAGTGTACAAATTACAAATTATAAATATAAAAACCCAATAACTTACTATTTTGAGAAAAACATCTTGGTCGCCGCACGCGGGATTCGAACCGCTAACCGCTCGCGCCTCACAGTTTGCAGTCAAGCACTCTACTAGCTACGCCACGGAAGCATCACGTGAGGCGCTGTACAAAGTCTATTCACATTTTGTTCTCCTATTTTTACTCAAATTGATCTGGCTTTCTTCTGGTTATTCCTTTTAGTTTATCATTTAATTTTACTTTTAAATATTTATTGATTAATATTAATATTTATATATTTATTATTTATTATGGTTCAATAGTAACAGTAATTGAATGTTTCAAATTTGAAAAACTTAAACAAAATGCAATACATTTTTTTTATTAATATGTAACTATTAGTGTTAAAAAAAAAAAAAAAAAGACACCACGAGTTTTTCGTCTCGACGTGGGTTTGAACTCACTCTTGCAGCCGCAAGCTTGAATAACATATGCATGCACGCACGCGTTAGACCCCTAGGCTACCAATCCCGGAAATTTTCTTCGATTAATAGCGATTTTTTCTTAGGCTAAAAAAAACTTTTCTAAAAAGTCTATAAGAAAGGAAATCGATCAAATACGGTTAAATTTTTTATTTTCTAGAAAAATATTTCTTAATATCACACATTTTTTTCAAAATGTTAGAAAAATCTTCAAAAAAATTTTCTGTTATTAGAAAAACAATATTTCTATTATGTAGAAATATTTATAATTTTAATGGCAATTTTTTTTTAGTTTTAGAAAAGTTCAGTCTTTTTTTTTCTAAAATCAATGGCGATTTTAACCCTCAAAAAAAGAAAGGATGATTAGAAAAATAAACCTTATAATTTAGAAAAAAATTGATTTTTCTGTATTTCAGAAAATATTTTCTAAAAAAACTCGTTCAATTCAGAATTTTTTTGAAGATTAGAAAATTTTTCTGAAGATTAGAAAATTTTTCCTCTTTATAGAATATTTTTTTGAAGCACAGAAAATTTTTTTTTTCTATATTTAAGAAAAAATAATTTTTTGAGTGTATATATCTGTGTAGTCTGAATGCGAAACTATTTAGATGCCATAATTGGGTAGAGACAGAAGCGCAAACAGATGCATTCATTAGTGTGAAAAGCCCCCATTTTCCTGCCGTCCCTCCCCTTTTGCAATTGGCAAACGACATTGGCAATGCCAACACAGAAAATTAACATATGAAATTGCATTTTGAGCAAATAATTGAATTTTTGGCATTATCTGTAAAATGCATCTGGTCGCGAACTGGATTCTCGTTGCTATTGCTATTGCCATTTGGCTGTTGCGACTCGTCATCGACAACATGCAACATGTTGCAGCCCAGAAGCAACTCCCACATTAACGAGCCACTTTGATGTCTCTCTTTTCTATGGGCACTGGGAAAAATAGGTTGTGTAGCAAGGATCAGAAGAGAAAATTAAGAAAATATAAACTATAAGTAGACTATTTTAGTTATTTTTCATATAAAATATTAATTTATTTGCATAAAAAAAATTCTTGAAGTGAAATTTTTATTATTAAAATATATCCCTTAAATTAAATATCAAATTATTTCTCCGCGTGTAGGTCCCGCATCCGTGGAGCGCTATTCAGGCCAGGATGTGGACGATGATGTTGATGTTGACGTTGATGTGGTGGACTGCAGTGACTCGGAAATGCCGGCGGCAACTGCAGCAGCAAATGCAACAGCAACAGCGGCGGCTGCAGCAGCAGCTTTGCAGGCGCAACAACAGGCGCGTCAGGCATTGCGTGTTGCACAGCAACAGCAACAACAGCAGCAGCAACAGCAACAAAGGCAGCAGACACATCACCACGCAACGGCAAACAAGCAACAACGCCAACATCACAATCATCACAGCAGCAACAGCAACAACAGCAACTCAGGCAACAGCAACAGCAAATCAAGCAGCCATCGAGGGCGTTCTGCTGCCGCAGTTGGAGCAGCTGCCACGCCCTCGCCACCACCGCCCCCGCCCTCGCAAAGTCCCGAGGAACTCGAACGCCTGTCGCCAGAGGAATCACCAGCACAGGTAAAGGATGCACAAAAAATAATAGCCTTTAAAGTCTAAAAAAAGTAAATTTTTTAATTTTCAAAATAGTTTTTTATGTTGTTAATTTGAGTTTTTAAAAATATTTGATTTTTTTAAAGCCCGTTATTAATTGATAAATTCTTTCTGCAAACTTCACTTTATTACTTAAAATTATTTGTATCAAAAATCATTTTTAAATCAATATCCACAAAATATTTAATTTTTATTTCTGTGTAAACCTCGGCAACAAAGTGTGCAAGAAAAAGGCAACTCCCCGAGCGACCTATTAAAAAATCCCCTCTTAATTCTCTCCTCCTCCTCTTCTTCTTTCTCCTCTGATTGCCACGCCCACAGCAGCCCACGCCCAAGATAGTGGGCTCGTGCAATTGCGACGATCTCACGCCCGTCCAGTGCCACCTGGAGACGAAGGAGCTGTGGGATAAGTTCCATGAATTGGGCACTGAAATGATCATTACCAAATCGGGCAGGTGAGTAATCCAATGGCAGGGCGGCAACATAAATGCATAAATTAGGGGCTTCACGCCTAAGTGAGTGGGTTGCAAACAGGGGGAAAAGTCATGAATGATTTTTAAACGGAGATGAAAGCGGAGATATATCATAATTAAACTATTTTTATTTTTAAAAAGGCATCTCAAAGATAATGTTAAATCTTCAACAAATTTAAAAAGGATGATAAACTAAAAGTAAAACTAAAAAATGTATAACAAGAAAGGAAGCTAGCTTCGGCCAGCCGAAGCTTATATACCCTTGCAGATCATTCCTATTAATTAACAAATCGCAAAAATGTTCAATTTTCTAATATTTCTCATTAATTTTCCGATCGTTCCTATGGCAGCTATATGATATAGTCGTCCGATTTTGATCAAATTAAAATTAAAATTCGGAAATATTTAAAAAGAATCATATCCTAGAGTAGAAGATAATACAATAAAAACCAAAGAAGCTAGAATTTATTTCCTATTACTTTTCCATTAATTTTCCGATCGTTCCTATGGCAGCTATATGATATAGTAGTCCGATTTTTTAAATAATTAATTCGAAATTCAGAAATATTTAAAAAAATAACATCCCCAAAAGTAGAAGGTAATATTTCAAAAAACACCGAAGTTAGAATTTTTAAAAGTTTTTTTTGTTTTGTCCCGATAGCTCAAAAACTGAGAGACTAGTTTGCGTAGAAACAGACAGACGGACAGACGGACAGACGGACGGACAGACGGACGGACAGACGGACATGGCTAGATCGACTCGTCTTGTGATGCTGATCAAGAATATATATACTTTATGGGGTCGGAAACGTCTCCTTCACTGCGTTGCAAACTTCTGACTGAAATCATAATACCCTCTGCAAGGGTATAAAAATGTATAATATATTCTATGCTATCTATAATCAATCTAAATATTTGTCCCGATAGCTCAAAAACTGAGAGACTAGTTTGCGTAGAAACAGACAGACGGACAGACGGACAGACGGACAGACGGACATGGCTAGATCGACTCGTCTTGTGATGCTGATCAAGAATATATATACTTTATGGGGTCGGAAACGTCTCCTTCACTGCGTTGCAAACTTCTGACTGAAATCATAATACCCTTTGCAAGGGTATAAAAATGTATAATATATTCTATGCTATCTATAATCAATCTAAATATTTGTCCCGATAGCTCAAAAACTGAGAGACTAGTTTGCGTAGAAACAGACAGACGGACAGACGGACAGACGGACAGACGGACGGACAGACGGACAGACGGACAGACGGAAATCATAATACCCTCTGCAAGGGTATAAAAATGTATAATATATTCTATGCTATCTATAATCAATCTAAATATTTCTTCCTTATTGCATTTAAAGACTTTTTAGAGCCCCAATTATGCTCAACATTGGCGGGCCATTTGAAAACTTCACTTATCGACATATTCACTTATTGAAAGAAATTTCCCGATAATCGATCACATTTCGTTTTTGGCCCCGGCAACATGCATTTTATTTCATTAAACATTCGTCGGAATTCAATTTGCCGGCGGTGAAAGAGAGGCGTGTGGCGGGGGGAGTGGCAGGGGGCAGTCCGGGTCATAACCATAATGCCGCCCGCGGCAATCGGCCACCAATCAAGCCTACGAAAAGTCCTCGAACGAAAACACAATCAATAAAATCTTTAATGCGCCTTTCACCCATGTAAAAGCCAAACTCACAACTCGCCTTTTAGGCTATAAGCTCTCAGCCACGCCCCCTTCGTACGCCCCTCTCTGTCTTAACTGGAAAATATCAACAACTTTTCGGTTAGTTCCTCATTTACATCATAAAATTTTGATTGACAAGGCATCGAAATAATTTGCGTCGATTTTCGATTAGCAGAAAAAAAGAAACAGACGAACATTTCGTCAGCTGTTTTGGCTCGAAAAAAAAAATATATATACCTCCGAAACCCAAACACGCATACCCACATAAAACTGAAAATACCGGGGTTAAACGACTTTTCATTCGCAACTCAACAAAAGTTGAAGGAATTATTGCTCAACGATATTTTCGATTCTCGTGCAAATGTTTTTGGGATAGAGGTTTTAAGGGGGGCTTTTGGAAATGAGAATAAAAACGAAACATGGACATGAAACATACAAGTTTTGGGGCAAAGAACTTTAGCTTTTTTGTATTTTGTTTTTGCTTTTTTTGGCCTCCTCTTTCTCTCTCCCAGAAAACATGCGAAATGCGCATTAGTCGCTAGGTGGTAGTTAGGATTTCCCCCCTCTTTTGTTTGTTGATTTCTTTAGGTTTTGTTTTTGATAATATTGGGCATTATAGAATTTTCGTAATATCAAAGTCTAAACCCTAAAATTATAAAAATGTAATTTACTCTGGGGTAATGTTGATTAAATCGATCAATTTTTTTAAGCTTATGTATTCAAAAATTAAAAATCGAGCTATAAATTTTTGTTAACCAAAGTTACAATCTACTTCTTTATTTTTTCTTAAATAGATTGATTGCTTGCAATAATTTTATATCCAAAATTGAATCGTGTATAAATATTGTAAAAATGCATATACTTCATATGTTTTTCATAGTTACAAGGTATCCCATAGTCGACTACCAAAGCCTCCTGGAGTTAATGCTTTCCATATTTTAGCTACTGTTTTTTGCTTTTTTGCCTGGCAACTTTTGTTTATTTGGCTTTGTTGTGTTGCTTAACCCTTTGGTGGCCGTCAACAGGCGGCTTTATTCCCCTCCGCCCCTTTCCTGCGCATTTACGACACATTAACAAATTTACTCCTTTCGTAGTCCCAAATTCCCCGCATTTTGGGCCCCCATCCCGAGATCCACACCAAGTATAAATTGCATTGTAATAGCTGCCGATTGTCGCGCTAACAACGCATTTGCATGTCCTTTGCTCTTCTGGCTTCGTGTTTTTTCGTTTCTGTTTCTGTTTTTTTTGCTTTTTGGGTTTTTTGAGCCCTGTAATTAGTCAAAGGATACCGATGAACGGCCAACACTTATTTACATTTGTGCGGGTTTGACGGACGCATGCAACAGAATTGCAAAAAGGTGAAAAAACAGAAGCCAAAAGCAGTAGCAGAATATAATTCCCATTCCGAGCGATATCCATCTATGTCAGCACATCGTTTGCTATAGCTAAACATGTCCACGAAAGGGGCGGGCCAGGTGGCTAAGTGGGTGTGGCAATGCGGGACTTTTTTCTGTTTGTGAATGATACATTTTAAATTGCAAAATATACGACTGGGGGCTTAGCTTCTGAAGGCGACTCGATGGCATGACTCGCTGCACTCTGTCATGGGGAATATCGTTCTGTAACGGTGAAAATACAGAAATAGGTAGTTATTTATAAAGGAAATTAAAGATATGAAAGAACGATTAACGGTCCAGCTTATCTACATACAAATATTTTAGAATTCAACATTTTCTGAAATATTCGAAAAATATAATTATTTGTTTTGAATTATTTTAGAAATATTAAATTCATGGGAAAATGAATTGTTTAATTTAAATTGCGTTTTTTGCTAATGAAATGCCTTTTTTTAATAGAATAAAATCTATTTTGTGTACTAACAATTTCCGAAAAATTATTTTAAATTAATATGCATTGTACAGCCTGCACCCAGAAAACAAAATGGACTAAAAAGGGGCCTAATTACCTAAAATTTTAGGAAGCATGGCCAGAAAAATGCGCCAAGGCCATGCATTACCTTAAATGTTGTCCATGTGGACTATATTTTTTACGCAGTTTTGAATTTATTTCTGGTAATCGTTACCTAAAAAAATGGCTAGTGGACTAGATTTTTAGGTCAAAATTACCTAAATATTAGGTATTTTCAAAAAAAATTAACATTTTTACTATTGATAGTAACATATTTGTTTATTTTAATTGCTTATATTGTTTTATTCGGATAAGTAAACATTTTACCTTTCTGAAAAAACAATCATGTTATTTTGTCCTCGGTGGGAATCGATCCCCGGTCTTCTGCGCCAGAGTCCAATATGCTAGCCTCTGGTCTACGGAACTACTTAAAGGCCCTGCGGCAAAACCAAAGCCTGCTTCTAGGGGCACAGGCGAATTCTATTTTTAGAATAGGGCACTATTACCTTAAAAGTAGGAAAATAGTCCACGTTGGTATTGAGTTTATATATTGAAACTTTTATATCACTAGCTTTAAGATAAGTCTAATAAAAATTTTTAATAATAAACTTAAAAAACCGAATAAATTGTTTATTAATATTAAGGACCAATATTTTTATTAAATTGTGTGTAATAATCGACTTCAAACTATTCCTAAATTTTAGGTCTTATGGACCAATTTTAAGGTTACGATGGCCTATAAAAATCTCTTTAGCTTTACCTAAAAAGTAGGAACATAGTCCACATGCTAATATTTTAAGGTAACCCATTACCTAAATCTGAAATTTTAGTCTATGAAAATTTTTTAGGTCATACATTACCTAAAAAATAGTCCCACATTTCTCTGGGTGTGTCAACTTTTTTATTGCATTTTATTTAAATTTTTTGCAAGAGAAAGGAAATTATATCTGTTTAATTCTTCCACATATTATCCAACAGTTTCCCCATTTCCAACCCATTTAAAATGCAATTCTCTACGGCAGCTGTGAAAATGTTGCCTCCACATGCAAATGCGCATGCGTGGCTCTCATCAGAAAGAAACCGTGAAGAGCGGACAAGAAATGCCACAAATTGCCAACACATTTGGAAGCGAGGCAAAAAGTAAAGCGACTTTTCAGATGATTTACAGCTGAAAAGGCAAAACAAAAAGGAGTCAGGGAGTCGGAGCGTTAGATTTTTTACCTGTTACGCGGTCAAGTTGGGATGGATTTCTTTGTGCGTGCGGTTGTTGAAATAAAATATCACGTGGTTTGCGATTTTGTCACGCTGTCAGCGGTTTTGAGGTTGGCATTTTTCAAAGACAAAAGGCAAAAGACAATGGAGGCAAAAGTCAGGAGTCGAAACGGGCGGGCTAATTGTTTGTTGACCCATCGAAAATACCCAGAGTTTGTCAATATTTTGCGACAAACTCTTCACGCATATTAGCCACCGCAGGATATATTTCAGGATATTTAAGGACAGTAGCCTGGCTTCGGAGGATGCGTGGCAATTGCAATTTCCATGGTGCAACCCCTTGCAGGCCAAGAAATTTCTCAAAAACATTTTCCACAACTTCATTAATATTTCCCTGGGCAGCTGAAATGGTCGGCAGATATATCGAAACAAGTTAATCCCCCCGTTTTAGGGGAAAGGTGCAGGGTCTGGACTCTAGAGTTATGAATTAATCAACTAATAAAAGATAGTCAACTGGGGGAGTGTTGTCAGCTGGCGATAAGATCTAAGTTATAGTTTTCTTGCCAGTTTTCGGGGGTTGCTTTTTTAGTTTCGCTTTGTTTAGCTAATTTGCATTTTATTAATTTAGACCTTGAGGCTTAATTTGCTGCAACAAAGGTGTTGATAATGAATTGCCATTCCTACATGTTCCTACATATATATATGGCTACTAATTGAAAGAGCTACCCCATGGCAAATGGTGTGTAAACTTCATAATTGTAACCTTTGGCACCTAAGCTCCCTTTGCGGCGGTCCAAAAAACTGAGTAAAAGCCATTTCCCTAATTTTCCCATAAACAAATACATAAAATCCACACTTAGAAGCTCGGCCAGCGGGCGAACTAAACTCGGGGAGAACTGGGAAAACCCCCCACGAAAACAAAAAAGTCCAGTTTGTCAGGGGAGTGGCTTTGGTTTTGCTTTAGCTTTAGCTTCAGCTGCCCTCGGGCGGCTCTTCAACTCGTAAAATGTATGTAAATGCTGGAATATGATTTACGACATTTCCGCCCAGCAGCAAAAACACCACAAACTAAAAAAACACAGAAAAGCGGGGGCGGCATTAGATATGGGCCATCAAAACGGGGCGTGGCAGTTGCTCGGCTTTCACACATTTATGGATCACATTAGCAGGTCGGTCAGGCCATCGGAAAAGTGTTAACAATTCTTTCATAGCTTGGAAGAAAATTTACGTTCTTACTATTAAAAGAATTTGTTGCAAAAAGAATTTTATAACCAGAAAATAACATTGAAGCGAAGCATTAGATAAAAATAAATAAATAAAAGTAATCAAATAATATTATTTCAGTTGAAAATGAAGAAAAGTAACCACTTTTCAAATGTAAACTATATTTACTTTTTTGTTACATTTTAAATATATTTTTAAATTTTTGTAACATTTTAAAATAAGTTTTAAACAAAATTAAACAAATACTTTAAATGCTACAAAAATATTTATAATTTTCTCTCTGCATAATTTGTAGCATGAGCTTCTTATGGAAATTTCCCCTGTTCGTTTCGGGGCTAAAAACAAAATGGGAGCTTCCGGTTAGGCGGCTTCCGTTCTTAAGTTTTGGCGGTCAGGCTCGAGTGAAGTTAGTCAGTTGGACTCAGTTTGTGAGTCCGTGCAGATATCGAGATAAGCAGAACACGTTAAGTGCTCGCTACAATGGTGCTAATTGTGGCATGCAACTGCGAATGCAACATAAACTGAAATAGAAACAGCTTACGAGCTTACAGCACAAATCACAATTACAGACTGTGCGATTTGGATTCGTTTTGGCCTGGTAACTGCGATAAATGCGCGGCCACAACGGTTAGTCAGTGGCTAAAACAATCGTGGTGACACTGGAACCGCCCTCCAGAATAATGGGCTGTAAACACAGCTCGTACAAACAAGGCTTTTCAGCGGTATCGTTAGAGGTAGAAGGAGAGTTGTGAAAATTGGACTAGAAAGAAAATCTTCCAGTAGACCTACTTAAACAGGTACAAATTGTATTTGCGTGCTTGACAGTGAAAGTTCTTTCTTCATTTGAAATGATCAAATTAACACTTCAAAATATTTTAGAGTCTGGAAAAATCTAGAATTTGATTTATATTTTAAATTTTATGCAGGAAACATATTTAGTGGATGCTATGTATTTTGTATTGCATTTATTTATTAAATACAAATATTTACAGTCCAGTAGGCCAAAAATAAAGTTCTAAGTTAATATTTAAGTACACAAATATTTTTGGGTCTGAAAAAATCCCGAATTAGTTATTTGATATTATATTTAATATTTAATATTCCCTTGCCCATATTTTACTTAATACAAATTTCCAAAAGCATGTAAGCCAAAAATAGCCCTTAATAATACCATTTTGTTAAACAAATGTTGCACAATTAGCTTACCAAAGCAACTGAAAGCAAATCAATTATAATTATCCAAGTCAGAATATCGGGTTCAGTATTATACCATATACACATGCATTCATTCGGAAAGACAAATGACAAAAAACTGGGCTGGGTCATTAGCGTCATTTACACTTACCTGCGACCACAAACACGATTTTCCGTGAGTTGGTGGGTGGTTAGTTGGTTGGTACACACCCCTTTTTTCACCCGCCCACCCGCTGGGCTTTCAGGACGACGACATCGCTTGCGGAAATGTGTCAAAAACGTGCTAAAAGTCATAAAATTAAATATGCGTCTTATTTACATACCTTGCTAGCTCGCCACCTCCTTTTTTTAGTTTTTGTGTCGGAACACAATGGCGGGCAATAAAAAAATAGTTCACAATTTTCTTCCCTTTTTGTGTGCGTTTCCTTGAGTTCAGTAACATTTTCCGACTACCTCAATGCACTCAGAGCAAAGTCGGGAATTATTTTCAAAAATATTCCACTATAAAAATTATTTTACAATTTTTTATATAATGGAATAAATATTTTATTTCTCCTATTTCAGACGCATGTTTCCCACCGTTCGAGTGAGTTTCTCGGGTCCTTTAAGGCAAATTCAACCGGCGGACCGATATGCCGTACTCTTGGATGTCGTTCCTTTGGATTCGCGGCGATACCGTTACGCCTACCATCGCAGTTCGTGGCTGGTGGCCGGAAAAGCCGATCCACCGCCTCCCGCCCGTATTTACGCCCATCCGGATTGCCCCCTTAGTCCGGAGGCACTGAGAAAACAGGTCGTCTCCTTTGAAAAGGTGAAGTTGACAAACAACGAGATGGACAAGAGCGGACAGGTGAGTCGACGCGTTAAAATTTGTGGGACAAGATAGACGGAGATGGATGGGAGAAATATTGAAGTTTTTAGCAAAAGCAAGTTTTTAAATACCAACCTTTTATAAATTTCATAAATTAACTTAGAACTTTAAAAAATAATATGCCCAAGTGATGGATACTTTTTTTTTTGTATTAATTTCTATAAATATTTATACCAATATTTTTGGGTTTATTTCTTAGTCTCACCTTCAAAACAAGTACCAACAACCTTCCCGCCTTTTATAGCCCAAACTTCAGTCATCTCATGATTCAGTTGTGAATAATTTAGGCCCAGCGACCAAAACACATAAACTGGCGGGCGTCTTGCCATTGTCTTCCGGAATCCGGCGAGGTCAAAAGGGGTCAGCCAGGGTTGCCAGCAAACGCGAATGCAACACATATGCAAATGGCATTGCGCGCGCACAAAAATGAATGAAAATTGTTGGCAATTTGGTGGCAAATACGAGGCAGGCTCAAGACCCTGTTCACATATATATTTCTGGGATTTTCGAGCCTGCTACCGTTTTTATCACGGCCATAAAGACTGAGTGGGGGAGAAGTGTAAAAAGACGCTGCGAGGACAGTCAAAACAAACGTCGACTACTTTTTTATGGACGTACATTTTTTATAAGGCCCACAACAAACAATTCGCATTCAGGAAATTTTTCTTATTTTTTCTTTCCATCCGCAGGTCGTGCTGAACTCAATGCACCGCTACCAGCCCAGGATCCACTTGGTGCGTTTGAGCCATGGCCAGAGCATCCCCGGCAATCCCAAGGAGCTGCAGGATATGGACCATAAAACCTTCGTTTTCCCGGAGACCGTGTTCACGGCCGTGACGGCCTATCAGAATCAATTGATTACGAAACTGAAAATCGATTCGAATCCGTTTGCGAAGGGATTTCGCGATTCGTCGCGTCTCAGCGATTTTGATAGGTAAGTTTCTTACTTCTCTTGTAGATGCCCCCGTTTCGCATTTTATGGGGTCATGTCTGATTTATGGCCTAATTTACGATGGCCTGTTGAGCCGTAAAGCCGATACAGTAGCCCAACTTGCCGCTGATTAGCGAAAATGTGTGAAAGTGCCAGTCGGCAGGCTCTTGGCTCTTCAATTAGCATGCAACGTGCAGCACCGGCGCTCAATCGGATCGAACTTATATGATTATATGATGGCCCAAGTCGGTGTCGGTATGTCATTTCGATACACATAGTAGTTAACAGTCTTTATGGGAGAGGCAGAAAAGTCGTAGATTTATTTTCCTTTGAAATTTAGAAAATTCCATTATAAAAAAATTTATTAAATAAATATTAGGCAATAAGAAAAAGTACAAATTAAATGAGCTATTAAATAGGTTTTTAGATTTAATTGCCTATAGAATTTTAGTATTTTATAATAATTTTATCAGCTCAATAAATTAGAATTCTAGAATATCTACAAATAATAATAATAAAAATAAAACAGAGTGTATTATTTTTACAAAAATTAACAACAATGTTTAAATATTATTTAAAAATTAAAATACTTGTTAATTCAGTAAAAATTGCCTGCACCAGCAACATTTTATCCTCGCTCAGCAACATGTTGCCCCACGCCCGACAGGATCAGTCGAAAATCAACATTTTTTCCAGCTCTTCTGACTGGACTGCTGCCCTTTTTTCGACAGCGACTTCAAAGTGTTGCAAGGCGGCGACTATTAAGACGGCAAATGCTCTGCCGCCAGCAGCAACAGCAGCAGCAACAGCAACACGGGCACAGCAGCAACACCAAGAGCAATGTTGCTGTTGTAGCCGGCACGGCGGCGGCTTAAGTGGCGTAAATTACAGATCGGCGCTTTTAACTTTGATGCCGATTCGTACATGAAATGAAAACACGAAAATAATGAGTGAATGTGGCTCTTGTTGCTGGCGTTGTTGTTCCTGTTGTTTAGTGTCGGCAATTGGCAGTTACTTTCGACGTAATTATGTTATTGCTCCGGCTGAAGTGGCGGCAGCAACAAGTTGCTCATCGGGTTCTGACACTCCAAGTTCTCCAAGTTCCAAGCTCGAACATCTCCAAGTCGGAATCGGAATTGGAAATGGAATTGGTATTGTCTGCAACTCGAACTTAATGGAGTGGCAATGGATCTTTAAGAGCACATTCTGTTTTCGCTTCAGTTGGGTGGAATCCAAATATTACAAAAAAGTTCGAAACAATATTTTTAATATTTATATCCTTATCTTTTGGGATCCTTAAAATTGTATTATCCCCGTTTACCCATACAATATACTTTTTGGATAATGTTCCATGTTCCATTAATTTAAAATGAAATGAAGATTCAAAGGAATTATCATTTAGTATTCTATAATGGATTAAATTAGTTAACTTTCTGATCTAATTACATTATTTATTTTATTATATTTTCTCAGGGATCCCATGGATGCCTTCTTTTTCGACCAGCACATGCGAACGGCTCCTCTGCGATTTTTCCCGGATCCGCTGATGTCGCAGCTGACTCCTCAGGAGGCGGATGCCGCCTCCTTGGCGCTGCTAGAAAAAGCCCGTCAGCACTTGCAAATGTTTGGCCGATCGCCGTACACGGAGATGTTGCTGCCGCATTTGTACCAGCGATCGGCGGCGCCACCCCCACCCCCTCCGGCCACCCACCTCAGCGCCTTTCAGCTGGGCATGTGGCAGCAACAGTGGCCGCAACTGACGGCCGGATTCTTGGCCAGTGCCAATCAACAGGCGGCTTTGGCCTTGGCAGCAGCGAGCGCCAATCGAACGCCACCCCCTCCCCCAATGGCTGTGGCTCCCCCCGCCCCTGCCACGCCCACCTCCTCGTGCGGCTCAGCGTCACCGGATTTAAGGGCCCGCCCCCAGCTGAGTCACTATCCTCAGCGATTCAGTCCCTACCAGGTGCCCCAGCATCAGGCGTCGCCACCAGCCTCGAATAGGGCAGAAAGTCCTTAAGATACAAAAACTGTTAACACAACCCACTAAGCCACCCAAAAAACACCACCCATTCCCCCTTTTTGCCCCACCCAAAAAAATACTCTGATGTGGTTATTAAATCTACTGATCCTAAAAACAAAAAATAACTTGCTTATTTTTGTGTGCAATAAATTAAAGAAAAATCTATTTTCAAATCAAAATTTAAATATTTAATGTTGTTAAAAATATTAAAAATAATTCACATACTTACTGCCAGCTTAAAATAATTTTTGGGAGTTTTTTTTTAAAGATTATTTACCTATTATAAAGTAACTATGAAATTATTAAAAAAAAACTTAGAATTAATGACCACATCAGAATATCAAAGAAATGTATGTGCAATGTTGTTGAACAAAAAAATTATAAAAATACAGAATACCCTTTGTAAATAACCCCGAATATTTAGCTGCAACATCCAAAGAAGCATTCGATGTTGCATGTGATGCTAAGCTAGAAAACCGTCTTAACCGGTTTCACTGTATTGTAATTTTCGTAGCATTATAACAGTATTAGTTAATTTAATTAGGCCTAGCAATATGCATACCCCACTTTTTGCTGTGTGTTTTTGTTGTCCTCCCTAAATGTGTTCCTAAAACTGCAAATTATTGTGAGAATTCCACGCTGAATTAAACCCTCTAGACACTCTGCCCCCTAAAAAAAAGCAAATGCAAAACCAATTACTATAAACACTTGATTAAATTATGTGCAAAAAGCGAGAAGGAGCGATGAAAATGAATAAACAATTTATAACACAAAGCGAATGGCTTTCATTTATATTTTTATTAAACAACATGCAATTGCAATGGCCGGACAATAAATGTTTTTGTAAATATGGCCAGCGATTAATAACGTTAATTCCGCTGATGGGTTGGGTTGCAGGTTGCTGGTTGCTAGTTGCCGGTTGCTAGTTGCAGTTGCAACCTGCAACACGTGATGCGCAGTCGCGCATGGCCACTGACATTCGGGAACGGCAATGAAATATAATTTATAGAATTTTGTACTCTTTATGAAAGTCTAATTAATTACTACTCCGTGTTTTAGTCTGCCTCCATAAACTATAAACTACGAAAGGGTTGCATGTGCCATCAACAATGGATGCAGTTGCACGCGACATGCGTCATCAATTTCTAATGATGTATGTCTGCTCCACGGACGTTTGTTATTAATTTCTGTTGGGCTGCTCTTACACGGCCATTAACATTTTAAAGTGTTGTTTGTTAGAAAGGGTTCCACATCGCGACCTTATCTTTATGTGTAGATAAATGGGCGGCGAACATTGTCGGAGTTGTTTACATTGCGAATTTAAGTGGATTTTAATTTGTAAATTTTCTTCAATAAAAAATAGTGTTCCTAAAACAGAATAGGGTTTATCACGATATTTTATATCTAATGCTTAATATTTTATTTTAATTATAAACACTTTTAAGAGGTTTCTTCTTATACCAACCCCCTATTATTCTCACATTTAACAATTTACTTCCAACTCACCCTGTCAATCGGTTTTAATCACATACCAAACACTCAATCACGTGAAACACATAGGTAAAATATTTAATAACTTAATTTCGGTGCCCATAGGCCTGTACCATGCGGCAAAATTCAAATGGGCCTTTAAAAAGAGGGTCAGAAAACCAGAGGCAGGGCCAACATTTAAATATGGCTTATATAAACTCAGAGCCAAGGCATTTTACCTAACCGATAACTAACCAATAATTATACACTCGAAGCTTGCAATTAAAAAATCGTTTTCGACCAACGAGCCAAACTTTCCAAATGGCTTAATTTACTGAGTGTGCTTGAGTTCGGGAAAAACTGTGAGAAAGTGTCATATTGTTATGAAAAATATATCAAGTTGGGACCAACATTAATTATAAGGTTAACAAGTTTTGGAAATGGTAATATTTTCTGTAGTTCGATTTCCTAATTACATAAGTGAGAAAATTAAAAAGTATCAAAGAAAATAATTAAATATTTACCACATTTCCTTCCCCATGAAATTTGTGTAAGCCATGAGAATTTATCACAAAAATTATATTATCTTGCTTTACAAAGCGTTACAACATTTTTATTTCCCTTTCTAGCCACAAAAAACCTACACATTTTCTGATATACCACAGATACCTAGAATTTTCTCACTCACTGCGACAAAGTCGTACACAAATTATCTCGCCACTAAAAATTTGCCTAATTTCCAACATAAATATGAAGCAAGTTATCTCGAGCGACCGATCTCGCAGGCGGCACAACCTTAACATCATATCTCCCGACTAATTTTTCTGTGTTTTTTTCCGGGGCACGGGACAGGAACAGGAGGCAGAAAAAGAAGAAAAGACAAAAAACACCCCCTAAAGGATGAGTTTTGGGATCTTGATCAGGCAGGCGCTAACAAATTTATGACTTCTTCGGGCGTAGAAAACATGAAAGGTGCTACTAACTGCGAGGGTGAGGGAAAAAATTCAGAAACAAGGTTAAAGGAGAGATTAGAGGGTCTCTGGAAAAGGTGGCCTCCGCTTAGCTCATTACACACAATTTGCAGTTAGGTGCGAGCATATAAATTTCTGTGGCCGCCTTATCAAAATTATGTTAACCTTTATCTAAATTATTTTTCGTGTATTTCGGCTTCAACCGAGGGTTGTGCCACATAAATTGTAGCCTTTGGTGCGGATTTATTTCTGCTTCCGAAGCAGTACATACATATCCTTAAAGCTCATAAAATAAAACCTTTAAATGGTTGCCAGTTCAGCGAATAAAATATCGTGATCCACTTTACCGCTTTGATGGAATAACCAGATATTTAATTACGAGGGCGGATCGCGTTCACATTAGCCACGAACATGAGTTAATTATACCATCAAATTTATTCAATTTATCAAAGAACCAACATGGAAAAAACAACAGCAGAAAACCACGCTATAAACGTCAGCGTGTCAAATGAAGATACGAGTACATTTAGCCAGCGGACGAATCGTTGGGTCCCATGATTTGGCAACTTTTTTCTGGCTTTTCATTTCTGAGTGGTCAGCGAGATGATAAATGATAGTTTTGGACAAGTATCTTAAGGAGGGATGGTGGGAATGGCAAAATTGAATGAAAAATGTCAGTGGTTTAGTAAAATATATAAGGGTTTGCTTCCGAAATATATTTTTTTTATAAAAAATGAAAACTAAACTTTAATTAATTTTAAAAAAAGGATAATATAATTGATAAAATAAAAAAGCACATAATGTTTAAATATATTAGAGAAAGATGATAATAATATCATATAATATATATAATATCATATCATATAATATATAATATAATATAATATTTTATTTTATGTAATAATTCATTTTATCATTTGATATTATGGGAAAAACATAAAAATATTTATTTAAATTCAAATACATTTCTAAAAAGATTATCTAACCAAATTTGACCATATTAACGTTAAATACAAATTATTTGTATAACCATAATTTTAGTTTAACTGTTAGAATTACCTAAGTAATTTACTAAAAACCCGAAATGAGCTTTAGAAAGCCACCAAGTGCAAACTAGACGGCATTACGATGCCCCTGGCCAGGCCTCTTTAATTATGGTGATTCAGAAGCACATACACACGTCATATAAAAAGTAAAGAGCACTTTTTAACAAGAGCGGAGTGGAGAAATTAATTTCACGACACAGAAATGTGCCAAAGGCCTCTTGGCCCGGCCAACAAGCGAAGCCTACATCACACTTCAACACAATCGGGCAATTTCATCGAAGGGGGATACGGCGATGGCAATGGCGGATGGCCCCAATTGCATTTCACGTTCCGCCAGTGAAATTTTCAGTCCACCCAGTCCATATAAGTCCATATCCACATCCACAGCCACATTGGCGATTCTGGGCAGGCATGCATGTTGTGCCTGTGTCTGTTTTGTCTGCATATTGAAAATTTGCATGTTTAAGCATATCCTTGCCAACACTTTCCGAGCTGGACGCAAAATACATGTGCTATATACTTTGTCTGCTATGTGTATATATTTATATATAGCCAAGGAGTCGGGCCCAATGTGCCGGAAGTGCTCGCAGTTTAAAGCTTATCGCTGCAATTTAAGTTGGTCCTGCAGGGGTAAAAGAAATTTCGATACCCGGGGAAATTTCTGCAGGCAGGTATTTGAATTTTAGAAAAATATTTAAGATTAAAATAAAAGTGTTGGGATAACAACCAAATAAATTGGTGATTTATTCCTTAATCAAGGTTAATATCTGATAAGAAATAAAATATAAACAGAATAAATTTAATAAAAACAAGAGAGCTAAATGAGTGTGAGGGAGATGAAGTTATGCAAGCAAGCAGTCGCTTAAAAGTGGCGCCATCTATCGGAAAATTCATCATTTGCTCATAACTTTTTAATGAATATTCCGATTTAAAATTTTTCTTTTACAATTCAATGGGTATTAATAAGGACTATAAAATGGCATTTATACTTTTACAAAAAATATTAAAATACTTTTGCAATAAGACTTTTAAAATTTCTTTCAAATTAACACCCGAAAATTTAAAAATATTTCATTAAAAGGGTAGCAGCACACCCTTAGCTTTGAATTCCCTGCCCACTTAAACGAAAGTAATACCATTGTAAATTAGTTTCGCAATTTCGTGCACGCCGGCCGAATCGTTCAATGAACTTGCCGCAAAGGAGGTTGTGCTTTGAAAGGTTCATTAGCAGCTGTCAACTGGCTAATGAAGTGCCCAAGGAAAAGATCCTCCGGATAATCGGGAAAGTATGCAGTATATGTATATATGTGGGCCAACTGTTGGCAGCAAATGAACTGCCTGCTGATTGATCTACTGAAGTCTTCATCAATATCTTTAGCAGCATCTTTCGGATTCTCAGGGAAAACTTGACTATTAATAAATGACAAGTCTGCATTAACAAATGCAACAAGGCCATGAAAAATGTTCATTTCATTTGGGTTGCTGCTGCCAGATGCAAAAAGCAACAGCAACTTACTTTATGTGTTGACACTTGAGAAA